TTAAATAATATTTTAGATAGATTCATAAACTTAATGCTTACAAAATGCATTATCCTTCCCATACTTAGCAACAAGAGGACTGGAGTCAACTGTTGGTAGTAAAAACCAGCTACCCACCTATGCTAATATGTACAGTGGACTGATATTTTTTCTTTGTTGCTAAAACTCTTAAATGTAGTTGTGTAAAAATTAAGTCATAAGATTTTCTTATGGCTCATAACTATCTCTTTATGCTAACTAGCATGGCTGAAATATAAACATAACTAAAACCAAGCAAAAGGAATGGCGCTGCATTGACAAAAAGTGCAAACCCTTACTCAAGTGAAGTCCTTGGACGAAATAAGCTTGTAAAAACTAACATCCCAACTTGGGAAACTCCTAATCAATTCTAAACTCTTCTGAATTTTAGAACCTTGATGTTTACACCTTTTATAAATGATGTCTCTTGACTGGGGTTAGCAAGTACTGTGTATACAAATATAAATGTCTGCAAATATACACACATCAATTTCAATAACAATTTCAAATGCTAAATTCAGGAACCTAGTACCATGAACCTCCTAGCACTACTACCTTTTCCAAATGGCTGGAGCAATGATTAAATTTTAACCCAAACTTTTTCTAAATGTATCCAATGCCATTAAAAACAAGACATGCCAACTCTGACTTTATAAATCTAAAATACAGTGCTCTGCAAATTTCTGTAATATCAGAGCCAAAAGTATTGAATTGTGACTCATCTACTTTTTTTCCTTATTAACCTTCTGAGGTAGAATTACCCATCCAATTTTATCAGGACCATAGTTATCTTGAGCTGAACCCTATATTCTTTTCAGAAAGTGAAAATAACTCTTAAGAGAAAAGAAAAAAAGGCTTCCCAGGCCATGGTACATAAGATACATTTACAATTTTTAATGTGATAATTAAAAAATAAAAATGGTCTTTATATTTTAAAAAACAGCCCAGCTGTATTATTCTCTATCACCAAGAATTATTATCTGAAGATTCTGTCAGTGCTGATTTGTATAGTTCAGCCTTCACAATCCCATCCTTGATGAAGAATTAACTCCCTCATGGTGTGCACAATATATTCTCACAGCTTTCAGCCTTCTTTTAGTGCCCAATCCGAGCAGGACGGATATGAAGAATGTAACTCATTCAAGCAACTCCTCCCTGTTCTGCCCCCTCCCTTCACATTCCCCTCTTCTCAAAAATATCTGAAGTATGAAAGTTGTTTTTAAATAGTAGAAGCACCACAATCCATTAACACCACATACGCTCTTTAAACTGAAATATTTTAGTGATGTCTTGGACATCAAAATCAATTTTTAAGATGGATTCTGAATGTGTGGGTCCAGCCCAGGTCTGCAGTTTGTGCAGATATAGAAACAAAAGGAATTTGTAACATTCAGAAAAAGTTAACTTGCTATGTTTAAAATAATGCTAGAAATTATATTTCTTCAAAAGGTTGTAAACATGAACTACTGATCAGGATATGAATTAAATGGATTTACAAATCATTAAAAAACAAATCCAAGTTTATGTACTGTGAAATTTCCATGGTGCCTTTAAAATAGATAAGCTGCTCATAAATTTTTTTTAATAAATGCCAAATCACTAGATTTTTGATGGAAAAAGAATACAGATGGACTGTGTTTTACCTATGTGAAAATCACCAATCCATTTAAAATAAAATCTAAGAGGATATATACATTCTAATCAAGTATTTGATTTTTTTCCTGATTAATAAGAACTACACTTTACACAAAATACTTTATCAGCAGCTGTTTTCTTCAAAAAAACCAATAGTCATAGTTTCACAGTTGAAAAAGTTACACATTAAAATATTTTACAATTCATTATATATTCACCAGGTTCCCATTTCCTAAAGGGCTTATAATATAAAGCAGATTAGAAGGGAAAACCTCAAAAGTTGATTACTTTGACACTAAATTTTACAGAGGACACTAAGAACCACAAAAAGCTTTAGGTTCTATCATAAAATAGTGACCAAATTCCATTCTTCTTTAAAAAATCCAATTAGAAACATCTTTTTTAAAAAACCAAAGTCTACAACATGATTAACAGATTTCAAATTAACAGCATTCTGAAAGTCTTCAAAATAAATGATTTTATATCGCTGAAAATATGATAAAAAGTTAAAGCATGATTTTCAAATAGTTGATTATTTCTTGCGAGAATGTGTTTAAATTAAGTTTTATTTTCTTTAAACCTATTTTTCTTTTCTCCAAAATAGTCATTAAAGGAAATATTGCTCAAGTGACCAAATGAACCTGTCAAGTCAATAGTCAGTTATACCACATTCAATGACAAGGACCGGTGGTCACAGAAACTAGCCAATAGGAACTGATCTCTGATACTGAAGTACCTGGAAGTAGCTATGCTATCACTGATTTACTTGAAACATATCATAGTCATCCCACGTAGCATTTAATTCAGTTTTTGGTTCCTTGCTTTCTGAGGACTACTTGTCCCCCTTTTCCTTATTTTTAATGTTGTTCGCATCAACTCTGCTTGGATATGTTTGAAATATACTTTGTTTTTAGCTAGTTCACTTAATCTATAGTCTTTATTTATGGAATCTGTCTACATTTCATCCAATGGAATTAATTTGGTTGTAATAACTCTTAAAATTTGGGATAAAATAAGCTATGTGGCTTGTCTTTTAGTGGCAGAGAGGTCCTAGGGGAAGGGACTATCTGGACTGATGTGAAAAATGCAAAAATTATATTAACTTTGTACAAGGAAGCTCAAAGCTTTTTTGGCACTCAGTAAAACACAGTTAGTTCTCTGTTAAAATCTCAGTTTCCACCATCAAAACCTCTTTCGAAGTTGTACTATTTCACTGAGCTTTCCTGTAATTAATCCCTAATACAGAAAATACTGGGATGTTAGTATGTATTAACTGAATAAATCTAAAAGACAAAAAACATTAATCACAAAGTTTTAATAAGTTTGAAATTTCCGATATCTGCAAAAGAATCTATCTGGTCTCCTGCTTAAAACAGTTTAAATTCTCCTTAACTATTCCAAGACAGTTTAGAGAAGTTTTCCTTATTTTCAAATTAATCTTTCTTATTGGCAATATTATGTACACACTTTAGTGAGGTACCTAAGTCTCCAATAATTATGCCCTTTAAGGGTTCTAAAATAGCCAAATATTAAGAGTATCTGTATTAGAGTCCCTGTTTACTATCCAAGACTTCTACTATAGGTAACTGATTTCATAAGTGGATATTTTAAAGTGATGCTGTATACAATATGCACTCTTCATAAAGTTGTACTCCAATAATAAACCTAGTCTAGAAAACTGTCAGTAAATTATTGCACTTTTTCTGGTGTGGCACCTGGACATTTGCTAAAGCTATTTCCTAGGGCATTAATCATTCATTTCAAATACTCAGTAAAATATCAGATTATAGAGTGATGACTAGCTTGAGCCCCTACATCCAGGGTTAACATTTTTCAAAATGTTTAAGGATGTATCTTGTGCTCAAATGCTATTTAATAAAGTTGGAAAGTGAGCCCTGATGACTCAGAAATGGGACATGATCTTAAAATGGTGTAAGGTCCTAATTTTACTAGGGAGATATTGAGTAAATAGCCTAAAAAGGTAAAAAGTTCATGATTTCTATTGCCCTTATTATAAAATATTATTCATGAGCATACCTGGGTAGAGGGGTGAAGCAATTAGGAAGATAGTCTAAACTGTGTTAATTTGGCAACTAATTTCATATGACTGAGGCATTCTCAGCTATAAAAGAGGATGGAAGATGGGTGATTCAAGTGAAAACAGAAGAAAATAAAAGGAAAGAGGAGAACTTTTAAATCTGTTTTCCTTAAGTAGTTATATACTAGTCATTGGTATGAGATAGTGCCTGAACCTTACCCACAGATCAAGAAAAAAGCTGACCATGCTGCTATAAACAATAAAAAATTTGGGGTGCAAAACAACGCATGACTATGGGACAGATCATGTAAATAAAGAATATATATTAATGATAGTTTCTATAATATAAATAGCCTTTAATAAAAAAAATAATCTTTTTAATAACATTAATACTCACTTCTATTTTCTGGAAAACATGCATGAAAAATGTATTCAATTCATTGCAAAAGGAGAAAAAAAGTCAATCTAAGGTGAATACTGTACAATTCTGGAGCAAGAATTATTCCTGCTCATTCTTTCTCTACGATGATTATTTTACTTTGTGGGAGCCCAGAATTTCCCTGGGAAATAAGAATCAGATTCTTGTAAATACTGTCCAGGAAAAAAAAAACAAAACTCAAAATATCACCTTATAACAGGTCTCATTTGTGACTGCTTCCCAAACTTTGCAGATAAGACCCCAAATCATCAAAAGGTTTGATTTATTAAAAAAGAAAAGTCTCTGTTGAAATCTCAAGAGTCCCTTACACCCCAAGCATTTGTCTTCATCAAACAAGGAGTCAAAAACCCACTTCAAACTATAAATTGAACAGCAATGGAAAAATACGAAATTTTCATTATTTTCCAATCTTAAAGTAATTTAACATCAAACTCCAGTTTACTTGGACCTAATGCAATAATAGACTTTGTTGTGTCCACATTTCAAAACAGAAAACATTTGCAAGACAAAAAGAGAACATCATCCTTTTTCCTTCTCCATCATTTCTATATATTTTGGGGTTTTTTTGTTTTGTTTTTTAAAAAAAGATACAAACAATCTTTAAAGTTTACCTTTTTGGACTTAAGGCATAACATGAAATTGCGCATTATTCTAAAGCTTAATTTTGAAATGAACTAGTTTAGTGCTATCAAACCCTGTTTGCGTTTACATTATTTAAATTATATAGTATTTTATTTCTGTTCTTGCTGTAAATTCTAATGCTGTTCATGGATTGTGCAATTCCTATGCAATCAGTCTTTGCCTGTTGACAGTTATTAACAGTGCAGTATAGAATCCAGATACTGAGCTTTTAGTTTCTTAGTTATCATTTCAGTTCAAAGCATGCTGCTTAATTGTGTGGAAGATCCAATCCATTTTTGTTGTCCAGCCACCATGGTGTGCATCATTCATTTGTTTCATGAAATATTCCAAAGCCTCTTGCTCAGTTTTATCTAAAGCTAGGGTCTTTCGAATGTATGCAATATCATCAAAAGATTGTAGTTCTGGCATTCCAGAGCCAAGCATCATTGAGAAAAGATTTATGAAGAGATTGGCATGCTGCCGAATAGCTAGATAAGCCTTGTAACACATCTCCTGAAACCTACAAGTAATAAGAACAGTTTGGTCAGTATGGAGTAAATCCTGTTAATACCTTCAGGTCTCTGCTCAAATGTCACATAGTTATAGAGGCCTTCTTAGACAAAACTATAACATATAGCATTCTTCTCCCTGTTCCTCTTAACAACACTTTATATTCCCTGACCTGACACTAGAATGTGAACTCTATGAGTCCATAAGGAGTTTGTTTACTGCTGTCACCAACCCCCAAAATAATGCCTAGCACATTAGGAATAGAAGAAGGATTTATTAAATGTATGAACTAGTCTATAATAAAGCCTTTAGGGTTAGGTTAGGGCCAGGACTAAGCTATAGATAAAAGAGAATTTTATAAAAGGTTTTTAAAAGTACATTAAGGTTTTCAGATAGACTAATAATACTCCCTAAGGTGGTAAGAAAAATTATGAACAAACATGGTATTCACGGCTGACTGAATCCCTTACACTGTATGACTAAAAAGTACTGTATGTAGCACACTATACATGATTTGTTAATACAGAGAAGATGGACTCCAATTTTTAAACAGCAGTAAAGAAAAACTTTTACTGTTCAAAGAGTTTAAAGATCACTTCCTTTTTAGGCCCTAACTAATTCAATAAGTTAAACTGGTTTTTCTTTCCATTTCCTTCACAGCATTACACAATAAACACATTAAATATTCAGTTTATACTACAATGTTAATATAACATCTATTATTTTAAATTGCTTGAAAAATATCAAGCAATTCTTGCATATTAGCAAGAATTCTTTAGCTTGTGCTTTTGATTTCTTCTGCTTACCTCTCAAATTCTCTTGTCTTTGTGCATTCTTGGGCTCCTTTACTAATCACTATTAAGAAATCTTGTGTCAAAACAAATGGCACACGCTCTCGTTTATAACCAAATTTTTTCTTCTTGTGATCCAAAAAGTGTCCAAAATCTATATGAAACAGCTTTCAAAAATAAGAAATTATGTTAGTTTGACAAATGCAGAAATACAATGTCTCGAGTTAGTAAATTTAAGAATGTCAACATATTTAAAAAGAGGAAACTATTACTTGTCCATCATCTTTAACCATGATATTACTATTGTGACGATCTCCAATTCCCAAAATGAAGGTGGCAACACAATATCCAGCACATGATCGTGTAAACAGATCGATGGCTGCATCATATCTACAAAGAAATAAGCATGTGTTAGTATGGAAGTACAGAATGATCCAGTCCAAACTGGGAAAACATGGTCAGAGTCGCTAGTGAAGTCTGTATTAAAACAATGAAAACAATCACTGACATTAGGGCAAGGAAGTAATTATGTTAAAAAATCTGATGAACTTTAGGATTCAGAAGTTATCAAAGGTATCTAAGAAAACTTCTAGATATTCTCTGACCAAAGCATAATTCTTATAGTGAAAAAATACTTAGCGTGTCATTAAAATAAAATTTTTGAATCATTTTAACAATGAATAGGGAGTAAATTTTTTCATTTTAATTTTTATTAATTTAATGTTAATTTAACATTAACTTCTAAAAAAAGAATAAGCATTAAGAAAAACAGATTTTAGATTCCTGGATTTCACCAAATTATAAGCAATTCTGATCATTTAAATGCAGTAACCTCAAATGTTTCAAAGGCTGAACATATCTTTTTCCAAAGTAAATACAATTTTTTCTTCTGGTCTAACTCGAAATATACACAACGATTAAAAAACTTATCTGTCAGAAAGTTAGATTAACACAGAAGCAAAGGATAATAAGCGCACATTTCTCCCTTGTTCTTGTCTTTGAGCCACTGATGGAGGGTGTGGCTGTTGAACTGCAGAGCACCTTTCAGGCCTCCTTTACACTGAATCTGCATTATAGTGTGAGAATTTCTCACCACCTCAATCAGTCCCACACAGTCACCAATGGACAGACATCCGTAAGGTAACATTCTGAAAAAGGATCAAGACATTTGCAATTAGTTGATGAAATTTTAAAACAGCAAATATTTTATCTTTTTTTTTAAATGTGAATATCTACTTGGATTCTAATTGGATTCATTAGGAGATTCATGAATCAAGTGGCATTCCATCTAGCAAAGGGTGCTCCCCAAAATAGCAAATATTTTAATGGGCTAATGAATATTCTATGTGCAAATTTGTTAAGTGGGACCTTTACTCCTTTAATCTAGTTTTAATTTTCTTTTATTACAGAATGACAAACATTCCTAGAAAAATCCTCAAATTATCTGCCATCATTTATTATAACCTTCAACTGTGAAAGCATTTAACTGTACTTGAGAAAAGCATGAAGATCACTGTGCCAACTCAAAGTTTATAAACATTTATGACTTTAAAAATATGGGTGAACTTAAAGGTGTTTAATTGACATCTAAATGATACCTTAAGGTATCAGTTCTTAAGTTTTTAGTTTCAGGACTCCTTTACTCTTAAAAATCATCAAGGATACCAAAGAGCTTTTATTTATGTGGGTTATATCCACTGACACTAGAAATTAAAATTTAAAAATTTCACTTTTTGTTAATTCATCTAAAGTAATATTTATATTTCTTTACATAAAAATACTTTTACAAAATCTTTTACAAAAGAAAAACCTTAAAAACCAAAAGAAACAAACAAAAAACCCTTAGAAGAGTGATATTGTTTCTCATTTTTTCAAATTTCTTTAATGTCTGGCTTAATAGCACCGAGCTGGCTTCTCCTGTATGCTCTTGTATTCAATCTTATGCAAAGTTTTAACTGAAGCATATGAAGAAAATCTGGCCTCACACAGGTATGTAGCTGGAAAAAGGAGTATCATAGTAGCCTTTTCAGATAATTTACAGATTTTTCCTTTACACTGTTCCAAAGCTTGATAACAGAGTTTCTCAAGTTGCAGTATGGAAAGAGAAACCATATCAGTAAACTTTTCATACTCTGTTACATGAAGACCCACCCATTTGTTCATCTTGCCTCTGAATGGAACTTTTACCCATACATGACTTAATAATATCCTACATTGGTCATTTGGAAGATATTAGTTCACTCAGATATGGAGATCTTTCAAATTATGGTACTTTTTTTCACTTTATCAACTAAAAAAAAAAAACCACAGTTGTTAACATTACCATTGATCTCATCAGAAAAATCTTTAATTTGGGGGAAGTTTACAGCAGTAGATACAAGGTTCTCAAAATTCTAATTTTTGCTTGAAAGCTCAAATTTGATCCTTGACAACAAATGCTGTCAGTTTTTCTCTCTGAAGAGTCTCATGTTGTTCATGCTCAAGAAATTGTTCATGTTCAAGAAAATGTATGCCAAACACCCATGTCTGAATAACCATATTCTGTCTATTAGTTGTTCTTTAAGTCAAAATGATGTTCCAGGATAAAAGCAGTTAGTTTAGCTCACAGCTCAAATAACCAACCAGTGCTTTTTCCTTGACATAAGCATACTTCGGTGTGAAACAGAAGTGCTTTATGGTTACTTCCCATTCACCACACAGAACATAAAAAAGGACATGGAGTCTCAACTGGGAAGGCGATGGCCCCCCACTCCAGTACTCTTGCCTGGAAAATCCCATGGACGGAGGAGCCTGGTAGGCTACAGTCCATGGGGTCGAAAAGAGTCAGACACGACTGAGAGACTTCACTTTCACTTTTCACCCTCATGCATTGGAGAAGGAAATGGCAACCCACTCCAGTGTTCTTGCCTGGAGAATCTCAGGGACAGAGGGCCTGGTGGGCTGCCGTCTATGGGGTTGCACAGAGTCGGACATGACTGAAGCGACTTAGCAGCAGCAGCATGTAGTCTCAAGCACAGAGATGTAAGGATTTAAAGAGACAATGAAAAAAGTATCTAATATGCCAATTGGCACATAGTACTAAATTATGGTTTTTATTGCTCTGTTGTTCTCATAGGCTACTTTTCATCTTTCCTTTACTTCTTAAATTCCTAAAAAAGTAATAGTTTAAACTTATTTTCACTTTCTCACTTAATTCCTTGTAGCCTAATTTCTGTGACTACCACTTTACTGACTCTTCTTAAAACTAACCATGAATCATCAAAGCCAAAAGCTTTTTCATAGTCCTTATGTTCTTAAACTCCTGAAGCAACTGATACTGTAAATTGTTTGTAACTCTCTCCCCTCTTCTGGGATCTGTGAACTACTTATTCTGGTCTTCCTACACTTTTGATCATTTTTCTGTGATCTATCCCTCTGTTCTGGTAAATACAGGAATTTCTTAAGGTGGTACTCCTGACCATTTTTCCTTATTTTTATCATTATTATTGAACATGCTCATAGTTACATAATAGGTTACATAATCCAATAAGGATTTTCTAAAGGGTTACATAATCCTATAAGGCTCATTATTAAAAAATTAAACTTTAAATTTAAATTTACTTAAAAGACATAACAACTTTCCAAAGATCCATCTTACTTTTCAATAATACAGCTAGCTTAACTCCAGATGCTTTTTTTGCACAGTCACTAATTTGCAATTTGACTCAAGATTAGAGAGTTTATAAAGTTTTAGAATTAGAAAACTAATATCATGAAAGAAATTTTCTTTTAAATTCTTAACTTGTGAATGAAAATTGGGGCCTTTTGTGTCTCATGTCTCCTATGCCCTGTTCCTAAATACAGCTGGCCCTCCACAACTGTGGATACTTGGCTTCAGCCAACTGCAGATGGAAAATATTTGGGGGGAAAAAAAATCCAGAAAATTCCCAAAAGCAGAACTTGAATTTGCTGCACACAGGCAACTATTTACACAGCCTTTAATGATACTAGGTATTGTAAGTAATCTAGAGATGACAAAGTATACAGGAGGATGTGCATAGCTTTTATGCAAATACTATGCTATATTTTATACAGGGACTTGAGCATCTATGGACTCTGAAATCAGTAGGGATCTGGGAACCAATCCACTGCAGATACCAAGGGAAGACTGACAGTCTGGAGGCAACTGAAGAGTCTTTACCAGCTTATCAGAGACAGTTCTTCTAACCTAGCTGAATCTCATTAGTCATTCTGAGCCAAGAAAGAAGAGGACAAATGGAAAGTACCACAGTGTAATCAACTAGTGTTAGTTATTACTCTATACATTTATTTATAGATGTATGACTATATTCTTTCTAATTAATATACCTTACAATTAATATTTACTAATGGTTTACTTTTTCAGGATAACTTTCAACATACATGTCACCTTACTGGTTACCTACCGAAGATCAAGACCTTGATTTTGCCAGATATTTTCCATAATGCGAATAATCTGAAGGGTTAGCATATCTTGCCGTAAATCTGAAATTCAAATAATATGTACAGCACCACTTAATGCCACAAGCACAAATTTGACTATCACATCATCACAATGTTTTTAAACAGAAAATATATAGAACTATATTTGCTCTTCAAAATAATCTGTAAGGAAGCAATAATCTGAGTTTTTTAACCATTTCTAAAGTATCTGCTTAAACACATCTGTATAACAATGGAGGGTAAGTGGGCATGATTTCATAAAAAAATTAAAATATATAAATTACTTATTTTTCTGAAACCTTAAATTTGAACATGTTTATATTAAAATATTTGGATTAACAGAATTCAGGGCTGAAAGGTCATTTCCTAATGAAAACCCATCTAAGATACATTTGTTTAGAATACAAAAATATATTCCCCCACAGCCTATTCTCTAAATGAATTAGGACCTTCTTTCATGACTCCTTAGCAGACTACATCTACCAGGTTGTAGTTTTGTTTATGTAGTTATTTGTTCAATGTCTCTCTTTTCCCTGCTAGACTATAAATTCTAAGAAGGCATGGATTCCGTTCTGTGTATTCTTAACAACCTCAGGGCCTAGCATGTCAAATATTTATGGAGTGAATGGATATACATTTAAGCAAAATGATTTTCAGGCCTTCTGATTCTAAACCTAATACATCTTTTCATTTCAAGAATTATAAATACATATTCTAAAGGTTAAGACATCTGCTTAATATCACATATTTTACCACATGCATATTCCTTAAATGGCTTTCAATAATCTTCATGGTTCATAAATATCCTGTGTATAAAAATATAGCTAAGTTCATGTATCATAAGTCCATTAATACTCTTACCATCCCCATTTTTAAAGATGATCTCATTGTTCTGAAAGAGTAATTCTGACATGATGTCTGGGTTCTCCCAATTCAACCACAGTGGCCTTTTTGCAGAAGACATAATTCGACACTCTTCAAGCCTTTAACAGAGTTGAAAATTTTACTCGGCACCTTAGCTTTGTTATTCTTTATAGTCTCAATTTATTTCAAAATACATATACTGTATAGCTTTTTGAACTGTTACAGCAATTTTAAACTTTCTCCTCAGTTTTATGTATGAAATAATTTCTAAGGGCATATAAAGAAAAAATACATAATAAAAAGCTTAAAAATTTCTTCTACACAGAATATGAATTTTCCACAAATATAGGTATATATCATTAGTTTTACAGATATTACATTCTGTTTCTTATCCAATGATATCACAAATTCTGGCCATAGAAAGTTTTAAATTCTATTGTTAAACCAGTAAAAACTATTCTGAATAAATGCGATTCCGAACTTAAGAAAATATCAACTCTTATTTTGCAGGGTAGGAAAAGGAAAGAGATGCATATATTATTGAATACAATTATTATGGACATTTTTATTTTTTTCAAGATTTTCTCCAAAGAAAGTATGTGTTTAAATATATGAATAAAACTGCCAATAAAGTTCCTTACCTGAGGTTTCCCAGCTGATGAGCAGGGTTTAGAGGAGATAGAAATCCCTGGAGAGCATCCATGAAATCTGGTCGCCGCATTTGCTCAACTAAAAACTTCATCTGTACCTGACAGATAAGCATAATAAAGGTTAGAAATTGACTTGATAAAAGGTAAAACTAACTGCTAGTATCTTTTACCCACTGGAACCTCATTAATGTGTAGTTTTTGAATCCATATCCTGGACTGGCTGCATTCTAAGTAGAAGGGTCTCTATAACATTCTACAACACAGAGCAGCACAACTCAGGCAGAGAGGTGGGAATTACAGTACTCTCACTTCCTGTAAGAAGGTACTGTATCCTGACAGAGATAAGGCACGGTCAACTATGGCTTGTAAGTCAGCCGCTGGTTTTTGTAAGTCAAACTGCATTGGATCATAGTCACATCTATTTACTTTGACAGCTGCTTTTACAGTAGAATAGCAGAGTTGAGTAGTTAAAACAGACTGTGTGGCCTGCCAAGTCTAAAATATTTACTATCTAACTTTTTAAGAAAAAGTCTGCAGATCTTTCTTCTAGAGGAAAAACTATGGAGACATCATGTTAGCTTAGCTTAATAGTCTGACTTTTAAGCTTTTCAGAAAACACCACATTCTTTGTTCAGTAAAGAAGGTCTAGGAGATTGTTGGGAAAAGTCTCATGCTACTAAGTTCTAGTACATAGCTGGAAAGAAACATCCTTTTTAAATCACTTTTTTAAGTCTACTGTAGTAGACTTAGTCTACTTAGTTACACCAAGTGAGACTGCAGATGACTTGAATGTGTGAACTATTCACTGTGTGACCGAGTCCATTTTAAGATTAGAAATACAGAAACTAAATTTCTTTTCACTCAGAGCGAAGTAAGCCAGAAAGATAAAGACCATTACAGTATACTAACACATATATATGGAATTTAGAAGATGGTAACGATAACCCTATGTGCAAAACAGAAAAAGAGACTCCTATGTATAGAACAGACTTGTGGACTCTGGGAGAAGGCGAGGGTGGGATGTTTCAAGAGAACAGCATTGAAACACTTATATTATCTAGGGTGAAACAGTTCACCAGCCCAGGTTGGGTGCATGAGACAAGTGCTCGGGCCTGGTGCACTGGGAAGACCCAGAGGGATTGGGTGGAGAGGGAGGTGGGAGGGGGGACCGGGATGGGGAATACATGTAAAAAAAAAAAAAAAAAAAAAAAGAAGATACACTATGGTTGTGATAAAAAATAAATAAATAAATAAATTAATTAAAAAAAATAAATTTCTTTTCACTCATTTTCAGGATCATTACTAATAGAAAAGAAATGACACAGAGCAAGGAAAAATCAATTTCAACACTTAGGGCTAAACAACAAGGTCCTAATGTATAGCATGGGGAACTATATTCAGTATGTTGTGATAAACCATAATGGAAAAGAATATTAAAAAGGGCTATATAAAGGAGAAAGGGATGTAAAGAGGAAGGAACTAATATTTACTGGGCACCTTCCATGTTCTGGAGACTATGACAGGTACTTTGTGTATCTGGTTTGATTTAATTCTCACATCAACCTTATGAGGAAAGTATTAGTCCCATTTTATAGATGAGGGAAACGAATTTCAAGAGACTAAATTATGTGTTTAACATTACACTGCTTAGATCAAAATCTTAATCTGCCTAATTCTAAGGCATATATACTGGGCTCTCAAATAACCCTGCTCCACTGTAAGGAAGGAGTCTCAAAAACACACTAAAGAGTCACTTACCTTTTGTGTTTCATCCTTCTTCTCTTGTTTGAGAATGTCAGTTAAGTTAATGAGCTTTTCCATAGCCTCAACTTGCCTATTAAGGTGCTTCAGATACATCCCACATGCACGGCAATAGGATTCCAAAAGCAGGCCAAACCTCTGACTAACTGTTTTATTGTGCATCTCAGATCTAAAAGACCAGTGCAAGCGAACGAGAGAGCGAGAGAGGGAGGGAGGGAAGAAAAGAAGCAGGAAGGCAGGGAGAGAGAACTGTAAATGAGTACACACAGAACCTTTTGTAGGAAAATAAGAAAACCCATTTTCTAAATTCAAAACATGTTATAATCATATAATATAATCATACTATTATAAAACCTATCATTTAGGAGCAAAACAAAGAGTTTCAGGTAGTTCCTGAAAATATAAATTTAAAAAAAATCTAGAATTTTAGATTTATTTCAACTACCTTTCATTTACTAGTCTTAGCACAAAATATATAAACATGAAAAAAGGAAATCAGGAGAAAAATAATAAAACAAACAGGGAGGGAATGAAAAGCTCAGTGAGCACTATTTGACCCTTCTGACATATACGTCCCTTTTCTGTACTGTGCCTGAATTTAAGTTATTTTAAACCTAGCTTCCAGATTCAATTTTTGATTTAACATTAAAAAAAAACATGTTAATTATAAATCTGTATCTGAATTTATAAAAACATGCATGGTTTATGACTTCTAACTTTGTGTATTACATATATCAATTCTGCAAAATATTTTTGTTGTTAATTATCTTTTTTTCTAGTAAGGTTTCATCATTATTGTTTTGAATTCCAAGGGAAGATTTTTTGGGGGGTTAAGGAATATCTTAATCCACACATACAGTGAAATCAATTGCAACATTAATCTAGACCTAGCAAATTTTACTTTTCTTAAAGTAGAATCAAAGTCTTTAAAAATATTTCAGCTCTCATTCCTGTATAAAATTTAGTTTTAATTTTACTGCTTATTTAATGTTAAAGAGAAAAAGCTGAGAAAGTTCACTGGTACAAATACTTTCAGTATGGAAACCTCTTCTAGACAAACAAAAACAATAGTAGATAAGTAATACAGAAGTATACATTAATACATGTATACATTATACATTAGAATACAAGTAACATTTATATAAAGAATAAATGGAAAAATAATTTGACTTACTTTAAATGCCAAAAGAAAAAGTGACCGATCCTTTGATTAGTTAATGCTTTTTTGAGTAAAAATCTCACAAGCAGGTTATCCAAATACTGTTCATATTTTAGTACCTATGTCAGTAAAAACAAACATACATAAAAACAAAGCCACATCAATCAGTATACGTTTCTTCATGGCCGAATTTAAAGAAAAAGTTTCTTAGGAAGAAAACAGATACTCCTGATAATAAAACTGATTTTTACAAAAGTATAAAACCAGCTAATACAGCATTTTTTGGAAATTGCATGGATTTAAAATAAAACATTTTTCTATTTTACATTATTTTACCTGTACTAGCTGAATTAGGTACTGAGAAAGTTTGTCATCTGTTAAATATTTTTCTAAGCACCGAACAGCAAAACCTCGAACCATAGGATCTGGGTAATTGCAGTCCAGAAGCTCCATAGCCTGTTCAGGCTTGATTGGAGGCCAATCTTTTACCAAGCAGTACATCTGTGTATGAGTGAGATAATAAATTATATTCAAAAAGCAAAAATAGTTGTGAATGAACCCTCTCAGACGTTGTCTTAATTTCTCGCTGTAAAATTAGATAAAAGCCCCCCTTATGAATTCAGTGCTTAAAATGTTTAATTCTAATTAATTTTATCAGTGACAGTTATGTAAATGGTATTTTTCTTTACTACACAGATCTTCCTTGACTTACAATGGGCTTATGTCTTGATAAGCTTATCATATGTTGAAAACAGCTCAATGCATTTAGCACATAATCTACTGATCATCATAGCTTAACTCAAACTACCTTAAACATTCTCAGAACACTTATATTAACCCACAGTTGGGCAAAACCATCTAACACAAAGCCTATTTTATAATGGCTGTATGGGTACAGACTAGTTGTAAGGATACTGGTCGTTTACCCTCATGATCACCTGGCTGACTGAAGCTGTGGCTCACTACTGCTGCCCAGTATCAGGAGAGACTATTTTACCACATATTGCTAACCTGAGGAAAGATCAAAATACAAAATTTGAAATAGTTTCCACTGAATGCATATCACTTTCTCACTACTGTAAAGTCAAAAAGTCTTAAGTTGAACTATGGTAAGTTGAGGATCATCTGTACTATCATTATTAGTTAATTTAAAACACACAGTCTATTTCATCTCTTACACTTATGCAGATTTTCTGAGAGAAAACAATTTGAACGACATACCAAATTTGTGCAACAGTTATTCAGTAATTTCAAATATGCATTTACCTGAGCTACTTCATCTCTAGAGTTCCATTTAACAGACAGAAGCAATTTGGGTAGAATTTCAGGGATAGTTACACAGTAGTGTCTATGTGGAAAAGACAAAACAAAATAAAAAACCATTCTTACATGTATCCAAAAGACCTAAATGTCTAAATTTTCAACTATGCAATCTCTAAGAAGTTCCAAACATTTTTAAAATTTCTTACCATGACTAGCCTTCCTTAAAATCAAAACAAATATTTAACATTATAGCTGCACATATATATATATATATATAGAGTCAGTTATAAATGGCATGGAAGACAAAAGGAAAATCCAAATGGAGGACAACTACTTAGGAAAAATTATGAACTTATAATATTCTTTACATAGTCTCTATTATTAATCATGAACCATGCTAAGATTCCCACTTCTACTGTGGTCAGTGGACAAAACTTATATTTAAATGGACTTTCTGCAGAAATGCACTGCAACTGTATTTAAATAAACCAGTGCACACATACCAAGCTGTAGAGTAATTTCTTCAAAAGTAAAAATAGGGCATTACATTGTTACTTTCAGGAAGCATAAGGAAAAATGAAAAATGAAAGGAACTCTTAAAAATGGAAAATATCTAGGCCAACTAAATCACAATTAAATGGGTCTAAAACTACAGGTATTTTTTTTGAGGGGGTGGATCTTAAATTTTATTTGAAAACAAAACAAAAAACCAAATCTAAGAAAAGGTCATGTTAAGGATTTAGAATTTTAAAAAAGCCTTCCACCTGCAAGCTTAGTACCAATGCATCATGATTTTCTAGAAATACTGATCTACATCCATAGTTTAAAAAAGGATAATGCTTATAATAAAAAATCATGTAAATTATGCTTTATTTACTCTAATAGGTAATGGCAGAAACATGGCAAGATCAAGACAAAGTCAGTTCTTTCTTGTGAAATAGGAGAAACAGGGACTCTATCTTAACACTTACCTGTGGCTCCACAGAAAATCTTTCTCTTGCTCAGTGATTTCAGATAGAGGATCTCGTGTACAAATTGCTCGGAGCTGTTCTTTATCATTTTCTCTTAATTCGTTGTCTCTAGCTAGTCTGTTACTCTGTAAAATAAAGCAGTATCTTATATAATTTTTTCTTTGTCATATTTCCTAACCTTCTCCCTCGATTTATGAGTGATCTGCAAAAAAAGATTAACTTTCAATAAACTTTACACTGATTATTAGCTGTTGAAAACCAGTTTATTGTCATTATAAGACTTAATTTTCAGCGATAGGGGAGAACAAGTTTAAATTCTTTCATAACGCTTGCCTGAATATATCCTTATAATCACTGCAAGGCTTTCCAATTTCAAAAGTAAAAATAAGGGGAAAACAGGAAAACAAACAAACACAACCACCCACTTTAAAATACTGCACGCTGAATTTTGGAAACTAAAATGAAAATACCATACATAACTTTTGGTGTAATTCCAAGATTCTAAGTAATGTATTTATTCCTTTTAAATACAAATATATTAACCACATAATGAATAACTATGAACACATTAATATATGATGAAAAACACATGCCATTTAGGATGGGTTATACTTATTCCTAATGGCTAAAGATGAAAGCAGACATCCATGCTACTTGGTTTTTGTTTAAAAAGTCAAACTGTCAGTCACTCAGTTGTGTCTGACTCTTTGGATCCTGTGGACTGTAGCCTTCCTGGCTCATCTGTCTACAGAATTCCCCAGGCAAGAATACTGGAGTAGGTAGCCATTGTTTCTCCAGGGAACCTTCCTGACCCAGGGATTAAACCCGGGTCTTGTCTCCTGCACTGCAGGCAGATTCTTTTATTATGTGAGCCACCAAGGGAGCCCCTGGTTTTTATATATTTAAATATTGTTAATTTATCCAGCAGCATAACAAAATATTACTGGCACATATTCGCTCAACAAATCTTTAATACATGTATTGTGTAATTTGGTCCTATTCTTACTGCTGGGCTCAGAAAATAGTAAAACATCCTTCATTAACAGAGACTCTATTATAGTGGAAAATTAAATGAACAAATAAAGCTATTGGAGAATCAACACAGACAGATGTTGTGAGTGATGTGACAGAGAAGGACGGGGTGGTTACCTTAGACTGAGTGTTCAGAAATGGCCTCTGAGAACATATTAATTTGTGATCCAAATGCCAAGAAAGAACCATCCACACTAAGACCAGGGGAAAATTACCGCAGATGAAGGAAACAGTGAAAGTGCCCCACAGACAGAAAGAGTTGGTGAGGATCAGTGGCATCTGAAGTCCAGTAGGTGAGGGAGAGGACAGACAGCAGGTCATAGTCAACCCATGTAAAATTTGTAGGTCAGGGTAAAAGGTTTGGATTTTACTTTTAGTGAAAGTTATGTACAGGATGAATACTGTTATTAATACTTGATTTATCTTTTACCATTTTGTTATTCTGGCTGCTCTGGGATAAGTGGAAGACCAGGCAGGGAGTACTGTAATAGTCCAGGTAAAGGAATAAATACTTAACCCTCAACTCATCAGAAAAAATAGTCATTAACATTAATCATTTGGGTTCCAATGGACTCTTAGTTCTTTTACTTATTTTTTGTTTTTAATACAAAATAATTTAGAGAATAAAAAATGGTAAACACAATTTAACAGACATCTTAATAAGAATTTAAACATAGTAAAATCAAATTTATAATCCAAAATGGGCAACATATGTTGAAAGCAACAAACTTGCTAATCAACTGTCCTGTGTGAGCCTGAAACATATCCATCTTGTGAATACTGATTCCAGATTTCAAATACATATCTCGTAAGTTCTAGCTTATCATTACTTTTGGTTTTTCTTCTCATACTTGCATTTTCAAAATACAATACTTTTGAAAACTTTGATGACTCATAATTTTGTTGAAGAGAGGATAACCATCTTCTTTGCTTCATAAGTACAAAACATTTCTATTTTTTATACTTACAGATATCAATTAGAATAATCAATCCAAGGAGTTAAGACTTTTCTACATTATTTTTTTCCTTCCAGTTATTTTTATACACAACTGTCTGTAGCATTTAGCCACTTAAAAAGTATATTTTGGTGCACAACATCATAAAAGATAAAAAGAATACTGGAAAAGATGGTGTCCAGGTTTTTAATATTAAAAAAAATTTTTTTGTGGTCCAGGTTCTTACCAAGACATATTGTGTGATAAAGTCATTCCTGCAGAATGACTAACTTGTGTTAGTCATTTTTTGTCCTTGGAGATACATTGTTCACTCACTGTCTCTTGAGTTTGAAAAAATTCATCTAGGATAGTGTCATCTGATGTTTCACTTAATATGATCAATTTTAACATCATCATTTAAGTCTGGAGCCATGGCACCCCACTCCAGTACTCTTGTCTGGAAAATCCCATGGACGGAGGAGCCTGGTAGGCTGCAGTCCATAGGGTTGCTAAAAGTCGGACACGACTGAGCGGCTTCACTTTCACTTTTCACTTTCATGCATTAGAGAAGGAAATGGCAACCCACTCCAGTTTCTTGCCTGGAGAATCCCAGGGACGGGGGAGCCTGGTGGGCTGCCGTCTATGGGGTCGCAGAGTCGGACACGACTGAAGCGACTTAGCAGCAGCAGCAGCAGCAGCAGCAGTGGTTCTCAACTGGGGTGATTTTGTCCCATCTACCTCCCAGGAACCACTGATAGTGTTGGGACACATTTTTGATTGTTACAAGTTGTGCTGGTGATATTACTGGCATCTAGTGTGTAGAGGCCAGGGATGCTGCTAAACATCCTGTAATGAATAGGACAGCCCCTACAGCAAAGGAATTTTTGGCCCCAAATGTCATCAGTATTAAGGTTGAGAAACTGTGCTTTAAAGCACTATTATCCATTTCTTTGCATTCATACTCTGATTGAATACTTGTGAAATATTTTTCTCTGTCAAGTTTTCTTCTCTTTGTCACTGTGGGTGGAAAGGGAAAAATTCTAAATTATTAACAGTGTTCAATGAAAGCCTAAAAACTAACAAAACAAAAAACTACAAAGATGGTGTTTGCAGACTTCTTTATACATCTGGAAAGATGATGGAGAACACTGAGCACTGCAATAAGACTGAAGGATGATGTAAAAGTGATGATTGACCTCACTACTGTATCATCCTTCTAGTTGTTCTACCCTTCTATGTTTCCATGTGTATTAGTCTTTTTTTTTAGCATAGTTGGAATTAATTAATGAATAATGATTAAATAGTAAAATGTCTTAAGATACAAGAAAATTAAGTATCCCATTGTTGTATCTTAGATTTATGAAAGTTTTCAATAGATCTGATGGTAACTGAAAGACAGAATCAGTTTTATTCTATTACAAAAATAAACAGTTTTTCTTTGAAATAAAAAAAATTCTTCTAGGAAGAAAATGTCATAAAATATCAATCCTAAAAAACTTAGAACTGCTCAAAAAGGAAACTCAAAAGCTAAAATGGGCTGTGGCAAACTGAGTTCAATGACTAAAATATGAATAAAATAGGAAATAAATGAATTTTCAAGTATGTAATCTAATTCTGGTAATTCAGTTAATTTATAGGTATAACTAATTAGAGTTATGGACATTTTACAGAAATGCTTAATTTAAAAATTAAGGAATCAGGGTAATTATCCTGTTTATCTAAGTTAGAATGGTTAAGAGTAAAAGACTTAATACTTATTTAACAGTGGCACTGGATAACTTATTTAAACTCCTTAAACCTTTTCTTTTCTGGTAAAATAGGAGTTAAAATAGCACCTACCCTCATTGAGACTACTTTTAAGATTAAATGAGGTAATATGTGAAAAGTAATTGGCATGGCATTTATAGTACATAGTAAGCACTTAATACATGTTAAATATATTAAAGGAATTAAACTTACAAAGTAGTGGTTACATTTTTCAAGCAAAAGAATCCCTTTTTTAATGTCAAAAAAGCTAACTGTACTTTTAGTAAATGACAGAATTCAGAAATGATTTTAAATTAATTTCTACTTAACAAAACATTTTGTACGTAGTTTTGAAAGTACACAGGCAGGAAGATTACTATCACTATTACTATTATTATTCCATTTACAAAAGTTTGGTAAACTCCTTACTGAGAACACAACTATTAATAATAAAGTTAAACTAATAAAGTTTCTAAATATAGGATTCCAGATTGCCCCTGGGTGCCACTATTACTGGGGGGGTAGGCATGTTTCAGAATCCACATTCATTGAATGGTCTATCTATAATCTTTAATTAGGCCAAAGAAAAAGGTGACAAATTAGGAACCTGGAAAAAGAGACAGCAAAGAACAAAAATACTCTCTTCTCTCAGCACTGACACTTTTCCCTTGAAAAGTAAGGGAGAGTTTACGATCCTTGAACCCAGTTACACTGTGGTTCTAAAACTACAGCCAAGATCAGACAAACAGATCAATATTTAAACTCCATTTTATATATACTGTTTTCTAGCACAGACTATGTTGTTATTGTTGTTGTTTAGTTGCTAAGTCATGTCCAACTCCTTTGCAACCCCATGGACTATAGCCCACCAGGCTCCTCTGTCCATGTGATTTCCAAGGCAAGAAAACTGGAGTGAGTTGCCATTTCCTTCTCCAGGGATCTTCCCAACCCAGAGATTGAACCTGCATCTCCTGCATTAGCATTTAAGTGCTTTACCACTGAGCAACAGGGAAGTCCAGCGTAGACTACTGTGATATGCTATTTCCTCTGCTTCCAGGTCCAGTTAACAACACACGTACACCTTGGTTTCAAGTTCAAAGTTATTATCCCAGAGAGGTCTCTCCTGCGCCAAGATACACTATTCTTTCTCCCCAAAAGTTCATTACTCTTGACACACTACTATTTCCTTCATGGCACTCAGCATAATTTGTAATCTTTTATTTCTGCTTTTACCAGTCTCAGGCCTATTTTCACCAGCACACTGAATAAACAGTATAGGTCTCTTCAGGTCACAACTTTATTACCTGGCACCTATTGTGTCAAAATCAAGTAGAGATGGAAAGAATACATGGAAGAACTGTACAAGAAAGATCTTAATGAACTGGATAACTACAATGGTGTGATCTGTCACCCATAGCCAGACATTCTGGAGTGTGAAGTCAAATGGACCTTATGAAGCACTGTGGTCAATAAAGCTAGTGAATGCGATGGCCTTACAAATAGCTGTGAAAAGAAGAGAAGCAAAAGGCAAAGGAGAAAAGGAAAGATACACCCATTTGAATGCAGAGCAAGAATAGCAAGGAGAGATAAGAAAGCTTTCCTCAGTGATCAGTGCAAAGAAATAGAGGAAAACAACAGAATGGGAAAGACTACAGATCTCTTCAAGAAAATTAGAGATACCAAAGCAACATGTCATGCAAAGATGGGCACAATAAAGGACAGAAATGGTACGGACCTAACAGAAGCAGAAGATATTAAGAAGAGGTGGCAAGAATACACAGAAGAACTATACATAAAAGATCCTCACAACCCAGATAATCACGATGGTGTTATCACTCACCTAGAGCCAGACATCCTGCAATGTGAAGTCAAGTGGGCCTTAGGAAGCATCACTACAAACAAAGCTAATGGAGGTGATGGAATTCCAGTTGAGCTATTTCAAGTCCTAAAAGATGATGCTGTGAAAGTGCTGGAGTCAGTATGCCAGCAAATTTGGAAAACTCATCAGTGGCCACAGGACTGGAAAAGGTCTGTTTTCATTCCAATCCCAAAGAAAGGCAATGCCAAAAATGCTCAAACTACCGCACAATTGCACTCATCTCACACGCTAGTAAAACTAAAAGTTCAAAATTCTCCAAGCCAGGCTTCAACACTGTGTGAACTGTGAACTTCCAGATGTTCAAGCTGGATTTAGAAAAGGCAGAGGAACCAGAGATCAAATTGCCAACATCCGTTGATCAACAAAAAAGCAAGAGAGTTCCAGAAAAACATCTACTTCTGCTTTACTGACTATGCCAAAGCCTTTGACTGTGTGGATCACAATAAACTGTGGAAAATTCTTCAAGAGATGGGAATACCAGACCACCTGACCTGCCTCTTGAGAAATCTGTATGCAGGTCAGGAAGCAACAGAAGAACTGGATATGGAACAACAAAATGGTTCCAAATAGGGAAAGGAGTATGTCACCTAGTATATTATCACCCTTTTTATTTAACTTATATGCAGAGTACATCATGAGAAACACTGGGCTGGATGAAGCACAAGCTGGAATTAAGATTGCTGGGAGAAATATCAATAACCTCAGATATCCAGGTGATACCACCGTTATGGCAGAAAGTGAAGAAGAACTAAAGAGCCTCTTCATAAAAGTGAAAGAGGAGAGAGAAAAAGTTGGCTTAAAGCTCAACATTCAGAAAACTAAGATCATGGCATCTGGTCCCATCACTTTATGGCAAATAGATGGGGCAACAATAGAAATAGTGACAGACATTCTTTTTTTGGGCTCCAAAATCACTGCAGATGGTGACTGCAGCCATGAAACTAAGATGGTTGCTCCTTGGAAGAAAAGTTATGACAAACTTAGACAGTGTGTTGAAAAGCAGAGACATCACTCTGCCGACAAAGTTCCGTCTAGTCAAGGCTATGGTCTTCCGAGGGGGCGTGTACGGTTGTGAGAGCTGGACCGTAAAGAAGGCAGAGCACCAAAGAATTATGCCTTCAAACTGTGATGCTGGAAAAGACTCCTGAGAGTCTCTTGGACAGCAAGGTGATCAAACCAGTCAATCTTAAGGAAATCAACCCTGAAAACTCATTGGAAGGACTGATGCTGAAGCTGAAGCTCTAGCATTTTGATCACCTGATGTGACACTCCGACCAACTGGAAAAATCCCTGATGATGGGAAAGATTGAGGGCAGAAGAAGAAGATGGCATCAGAGGATAAGATAGCTGGACAGCATCACCGATGCAAGGGACTTGAACTTGGGCAAGCTTCAGAAGGTGAGGACAGGTAGACCTGGCATGCTGCAGTCTATGGAGTCACAAAGAGTTGGACATGGTTAGGTGACTGAACAACAACCTATTGTATAGTAAATATATATGTGTAGTCAGTATTAAATAAAATATTTGTTAAATGAGGCAGGCTAAACTAAGAAGCAGACTGCAGAAAAAAATTAGCATACAGAATTTTATTCTATTGCAATACTGTTCTAGAACCTGTAATATTGATGCCAGTGTAAATAAAACACATGAAACCTTTTCCATTCAAAGAGTAAAAGGAGGTATGCAAATGCACTGATTATGACTGATACTTAAGGAAAACTCTGTGATTTGCCTTACCAGTCCTGCATGGGAATAACTAAATCCTGCTTCACGGGATACAGACCAATTGGCATGCTCTTCAATCACTGACATATCTGGAAACTTTACCACACTGCTGAACCAGTCAAACTCCAACTCTAAACATGGAGTTTCCTAAGAGATGGAACAAAAGTTATTATATATATTATACTTGACTGTCACACACACAAAAAAGAAAAAAAAATCTAATTTATGATAATAAAAAGCTTACTTTATTTGGATTTGATCCAGTAACACCAATAGGGTTCAGCAAATCTTCTAGTCCATGAGGTACTGGCCAAAGATTCAAAGCCATTTTTCCAGATACTAGAGTATCTGTGTAATCAAACAAGTTTATATTTCCCCAGGCCAATGGACAGTGTTCCTTAAGAAACAGAAAAATGTTCACTATTCTGTAGATTAAATGATAAAATGCATTTCAAAATACTTATCTTTGCCAGAAAGGAGAATTCAACAACTGCCTTTTAAACTGTATCTATAACAAGTCACATTAATTTTTTTCCAAGTGTAGTTTCATTTTCCCCATTTGAAAGTACACATATTTTTAAAATTATAAATGGGAAATATGAACCAAAGGAAGCAAGACATATTTACGTGTAGTCACTGTGTACATTAACACTTTTATCAGTATGAACTGAGGACATATTCATCATAAAATAAATTCTGGAAGCTCTACTAAGTTATTCTTCTTTAAATAAATATATTATTTTTAAATGTTTGATTTATTAATTTTTAAGTAAGGGAAAAAATACCCATTTCTTGAAAAATTCAATCAGCAGTATATTCAGGGGTTTTTAGGAGTGAATATTACTATTCTTTCTGATACTTTACCTCTTTAGCACCCTTTCGGCCTTTAACAGAACAAATGGAAAGGCAAAGTCGAGCAGCACGAGGAAGATCAGGAATGTATATATCATAATTCAGCCATTCATTCCACCTATGAAAAATTTTAAAGAAAAAAAGAATTTACCAAAAAAGACTTTATCCAGACTATATAAATGATTCCTGTAAATCACTAAGAGAAAGATAAATCAAACGAAAACCAGGTCAGAGACTGACTGGAACAGAAACTTTACAAGATCAAATCTAAATGGCTAATAGACATGAAAGAGTAGTCAATATCATCTGTCATCCAGAAAATGCAAAAATAAAAAGATAACACTATAAAAGAGAATGGCTAAAATGATAAATACTGATGATACTGAGAAGTGGTAAAGAGATGCATTAACAGAAAATCTCATACATGCTAGGGGAGGTGTAATTTGTACAACCAATTTGGAAACCATAATCTACTAAAACTGATCCACAACTCAGCTCCATTTCTAGGTATATGCAATCCTGAACAGATTTTCATTAATTATGATCAATTCAGAAGGCTTTCTGAATAGAATGTACGCAATCCTGAACAGAGTGCTAACAGAATTATATACAGTATCTCCAAACTTCAAAGTAAATAGATAAATGGTAGTATGGTCATATAATGGCATACTGTATATCAGTGGAAATGAACACTAGTTATTTACAAATAGATGAAATCTTATAAACATAATATTGACTGTAAGAAGCTAGGAACAAAAGAATATCAACTCCTTGAGTCCATTTATATAAAATTTAGAAACAACCAAAACTAACAGCATTAGAACAGGTACCTTTGGGGAGGAGAGAAGATTAATGGGTTGGGAAGGAGTATGAGGAGGGGTTTTTGGAATGCCTGTAAATGTTCTAATTCTTGACCAGCACAGTGGTTATATAGGTGGTTATACAGGTATTCATTTTGCGATAATTCACTGAACTATACAATCATGATTTGTATAATTTTATGCATTTGTGCTGTACTTTGGTAAAAATAAAAAACAAATTCACTTATAGAAGATGGAATAGAAAAAGGAAACTAAAGATAAAATTAATTTCCTGTTATGATTAAAATTATATTTAATTATTCTTATGTATGATGTAGTTTCACTCAGAAGAGCCTGTTAATTTAAATAAGTCAGTAGATAAATAAAATAAAAGATACATAAGGAGAAAGCATTCAAATTTCAGAGTAACTGCTTCATAGGAAGTAATAAAATGACATAATGAGAGGAAAAAAGTTACTACAAAAAGTGATAAAAATTATTCAAATTTTCCTAAGTTCTCTTTAACTTATTGGTTGTTACATGTGAAATTATGTCTATATTTGGTATACATACTTATAAAGAACCAAATACAATAAGTAATTGGGTTTTTTTAATTAAAAAACATAGTAATGGCTAAGAATATGAACTTAGGAGTCAGACTGTCTGGAGTAAAATCTTGTTTCTACTATTTTACTAAATGTGTAACCCTTGCTTTGTCTGTTTTCTCATCTGTGAAATGGGACTAATAACAGCACCAACTCTCATACAGTTGTGAAAATTAAATGAGATAACATACATAAAGAAATTAGAACAGTAACTAGTCCATATTAAAAGCTCAAGTGTCCATTTATACAGAGAAAACTTACATTTAAAGTGGGGAAACTCAGCTAGAAGGAAATCTAAAGGGAAAGCAAACAACAAATGCAGGGAAAAGAAATACTGTAAGCTTTGTTAAGTTCACAGTAATTCAAGAAAAATTAGATGGTGTATCTCAAATGTACTTAGTACTTTTTACCACATTGAAACCTTCTGAATTGATCATAATTATTAAAAATTTTCTACACACTTTTTAAGAGAGCTATGTCTTACTAACGCATTATAGTTGTTCAGTACTGTGCTAACCAACTAAAGCATGTTCTTTTCTTCTTTTAAAGTCCACAAAACACACACACACAAACACGTACAACCTAATTAAGTTCTTTAGTTTTAAGCAATGGTTTTATATATATATTCCAAATTTATTCTGATTTTGGGAGATAACTGGTAACATTTATATGGAAATCATAAAGTATCTAATTATTTAGCATATAGAAAGCACAGATTTGGAAAAATCACTTAATCTCAGTAAGAATTTTTAAGATTCTATCTTTCTAATAACTTCATATACTTTTATCTCTGATTTTTAAGTACAGAAAAGCTTAAAAATTTACTTAAGTCTTTATACTACTTGCATAGGGATTTTACCTTACAGATATTCTTAAAGAAATGATAATGAAACAGAAATCCTTTTTAAATAGTTACTTTAATATGTTACATTTTGACATTTTGATCTTATATCATTAAATAAATTTACCTTTTACTTTTCTAAAGTCTGTTTATTTTTGTTATTTGAAAGAATTAGGGTAAATCTATCTAACATTATTTTGGGGTCTTTCCTTAGGCTTGTTGAACCCCTTAGGTTGTTGGTCTTATAGTATTCACTAAAATTCAGAAATTTCTGGCTATTATTTCCTCAAATATTGTTTTTATGTTCCTTGCAAAAGCACCCACTTAACCTTTGACAGATAGGCTGTATGAATGGAAAACATAACTTTCGTTGGTCTAACAAAAATTTTAAAAAATTCTGGTGTTGTTTATTGCTGCAGCGTAACTTCTAACCTGAGTGATGTGCTTTCTGACCTACAGTGGTTCAGGCAGGATGGCAATTATATTCCTTCTTCCTGGTATAGAAGGCTACCATCTCTCTGAACTTCACCAGTGGTCTAGAAGGTGGCACCTCTAGCACTTACATTATAAGACCAGAACTTTTTCCTGACTTTTCTAGAACTCAGTCTGAATTCATTATAAAACTTACTTCTGGAAGATCCATTAGTTAGCTCTACTGCTAGTCTAAAAAGTCTACTTTAACATTTAAAACCAATTTGAGTTATCTTAAAATATTACTATATTCATCAGGAATAAACTTTTATTCCCAAATGATTCTATAAAGAAAGGCAAAGAAATGGCAAGATGGAAAGTTGCTGAATTATACTACCTTTTTTATTTCTTCATTTTATCTAGGCAGTAATCATTTTTAAACATTTCCAGTAACTCCCCCTCCCACTAAGAAATTGGTTTGTTCCCAAAGATTCTTTACTTGAATGTCATAAACATGTATTCTTGGGAGTGTTGTAAAGCAAACTGCCTCAGAGTAGTACAGCTCTGAAGTTATTTGCCAACTCTCACTTCTTAATGGAAATGGGAGTTTAAAAAGGAATAAAATGCAAGGTTTTTAGATTTACTGTAAGGAATCATCAGCACAAAACTATAACCACATTCTGTTTTCTCCTCGATACAATGAAAGAGAGAATCAGAAAAACTGTTCCAATAACATTTTAGAGAAAATAAAGTGATCCCGGAATGAGGATACTTATTTGATGGGATGTCCTTATGTTCTATATTAAATGTCTGGGAATTATATATGACTTGCATAAAACTAATAATGTAAAATATGCTACTTTTATTTATTATACTGTTAAACACTAATATGACTTTTGAAAATATAAATTCATATACTTCCTTACCTGGGATTGGAACAAGGTACTCTTTGAGTGTTCACATTATCACATAAGGGTTCTCCTCCATGATAGATACCTGTTCGAACATAAATCTAAGGGAAAAAAAAGTTATGTGTATACACATACACATACGCATGCACACATACATACTAGACAAGGCCAATATTAAACATTATCAAAACAATTTAACTGAAATGAATGAGAAAATCAACTAAAAGTTTTTGTTCAGATGTAGCTTTTCTGGTCTCTTTTTCTTCCCATATTAATAAATGATTAATTAATAAATGATTAGATTTTTCATCAATAGGTTGCTGCCTTCAACATTGGCCCACAATCCCTTTTTAGGCCAGTTATGTAATTCAGTTTTACAAATTCCAGAATGATAAATTGGTACATATACTAAATATTACTTAGTACTCTTAGCAGTTAGAGCAGCACTTCATAGAGAAATTATTAATATTTCTACAATAAAACATATGGATATTTACATTAAGTGGGATAAATAAAGACTATAAAAACCTTGCTTCAGATTAGGTCAGGTTTTCCTGCCAAATGAATTCTATAAAAGCTTGGTTTTAAGAGCTTAGAATTATGGATATTAGATTTATTAGAATTACAGAGAAGGACTATAAACTGAGGTAGATCTTTTCTAGCCAACTGAAAACATACTGCAGGTCAACAGATTATTATATAGTTCAATAAAAAAGATTTATATAAAATAATTTATATCAGTTATAAACAGCAACACCTGACCTTACCTTGTCAATGTCTCGAATATTTACATTCACATAGGTTGCACAAAGAATTTTTATTCTGAGTGCACTATTTATAACCCAAAGGGATTTTGTAGATGTTTCTCCATTCATATATGGCGTAGCTGTGGAGATGCGTCTGGAATATGATGGCATTGTAAAAGAGTCCATTGGCAGTTGAGAGTAGAGGCTTTCTTTAGCCATCAGCATCAAATTGGGCATCCTCCCAAGCATTATACAGCTTCTTATATACTGTAAGAGATTAAGGTGGGAGGGGAGAAGCCATTTCTTGTAAGGTTTTCATTTTAAAAGCAAAATGCAAGAGTATTATGAGAGAATTTACATACTAATCTGTAAAGGTGATTAAACAAATCAAACATTATAGATTTTTTTTTTAGCAGTTGCTATATTTATAACAGTCAAAATACTAACATTTGGGAGTTAGGTTATAGCACAGATAAGCCAAGCACCTCCTGGCATATAAATTGTATAAAAGAAAAGAAAAATCAAGGTCAGCTTTTGAGACTATAGTTCTACCTTCAACTGGAAAAAAAAAGAAAGAAGAAAGAATTAAAAATAAGGATCAGGACATACTCATTATGAAAACACTGTACTTGTTAAAGGAAAAAGCAAGATATTTAGAAAGCCTGTGTCTTTCAATGTATTAAGTCATACTGATTTAAAATCCAAGAGCTGCTTGCTGCCCACTTGTTCTTTTGCCCCAACACTTCTTGAGAAACATTTCTTAAAAAAAATCACACACATACACACACAAAGAGAGGAGACTAATAATTATGAAATATGTTGTTAAAAATATTAAAATGCATTGGTTTGAACTTTAAAATGATAATCAGGATAGAGATTTTTAATATAAATGCTACTGTACACCCCTAATCGCTCAGTGGGTGAAGAATTCGCCTGCCAATGCAGGAGACACAGGTTTGATCCCCAGGTCTGAAAGATCCCCTGGAGAAGGAAATGAAAACTCACTCCAGTATTCTTGCCTGGGAAATTCCATGGACAGAGGAGCCGGGGATGGGGGGGTGGGGGGGTGTCACAGTCCATGGGATCACACAGAGTTGGACACAACTGAGCGACTAAGCACATATACACACAGCACTGCTGTACACATTTTACAAAAATCTGTTTTCTTACCCATAAGCCCTAGTAGAATGTAAGCAAACTAAAAGCCAAGACCATGTCTTACTCGGTAAATCAGTATTTGACATATGCTTGGTACAAATATGGTTGCTTCTTATAGGTATTTATTTAATGAATAGAAAGACAGAGTAAAGAAGTATTAACAGTACATCTTAATTAACTGTAGACCATGGATTTTGAAATGTTTAATTCCTTCTGGTGCCACTGTGTGCAAAGGGACAAAAACCATCAAATGCCCCATATTTGGTTGTTAGTATAACTGCCATTTTTTTTTTTTTTTTGACAAAGAACATTTACCTTATTGCTAACACTGCCTATTCAAATACAACAAGCCCTTTTTTGAAAAGTATGGCACATGAAAAGCCTTTTGGGCAAGTTTCAATTTATTTAAAATTCCTATTGGCTATAAAAGTATTTCCACTATAGAACTGGAGCTATCCAGAAAAAGCACATAATGCATTTTTTGTAAAACACCTGAAACATTATTATATCTTACCTCATGGCACAATTAAATGTTCACCAAATCAAATGTTTGTATCTGAATAATGACATAACTATTGTTACAACTATAAACTTTTACTCAGCTTACCCATATACATGTAGTCAGGTCCCCAAATATTAATTATATAAAATATAAAAGAACAGCATTGGTCCTCTCAAATTTGTCTCTCAAATTAAATATAGTGTAAAAAATAAACTAATTAATGCTATTTATTAACACTAATTATTTAGTTTTGGAACTTCCCTGGCAGTTCAGTAATTAGGATTTGGCGTTTTCACTGCCAAAACCAGGGCTCAATCTCTGGTCAAGAAACTAAGATTCTGGAAGCCAAGTAGTATGGCCAAAAAAAACTAAATTTTCAAAAACTATATCCTAAATACAGATATCAGTTCCCAATGTTATTACCTTTTAAATTTAAAAGTAATATCTTTAAAACTTGTTACTCACCTTATACTGACTCAGAGGATATTTTTCTAGGAAGTATTCATCACATCCACACACTTTTAAAATATACTTGCCCTGATATTCTAAAACACAGAGTTTTAGTTGTTCAGATGACAGCAACATACTTCGAGTTTTTTTCCTGATTGCTTCAGCAATTACTTGTTCTGGCACACAGTCATGGTTGATTTTCAAAGTATACTTCTGTTTGTCATTATTTGGAGAAACTATTACCCAAATCACCACTATTATTTGCCCTATAATAGAAAAATAATATTAGATGCAGTCACCACATATATTTCATTTTTCAAGAGAGAAGTTTCAAAAAGTATGCAGTACCATTACTCTAACCACAAACAGAAATGACTTATAATCAACCATAATTAAATACAGGTAACTGTCAGGTAGAAAGAGCAAACCTTCAAATCTGATAGGGCTGACAAACCATGCCCCAACCTCATGTTTTAAGGCAAGCATACAAAACTGTGACTACTGTGTGTTGCAAGTATCTGAGACTAAGCTAATTTCTATTCTAAACTGCATGACATACTTCATAGATACAATCCCTGTGAAGAGTGACTCATGATGGCATCAAAAGTTCAACAGTACTCTAAGTACAACTGTGTCTCATAACTATGGGAAAGAACCATGGAGACTTAAAGAAAGATGCTGAATCAGAATGAGAGAAAAGATTGGGGAGGGATGGGGAAGTAAATATTCTATTTTTTTCCTTTTAAGATTAATGAAGTGTAAAGCTAGGGGACCAAGAAAAAGAAGATGAAAATGAAAAGATTAAAACTATGTTGGAGTGGCCAAGGTATACACAGTAAAATTCTTTCAGATTTTCTATTTGTTGGAAAATTTTCATGAAGAGTATTAGGAAAAAATGAAAAGATCATTCCATTTTAAAAACCATGCTAATGTAGAAATGAATTTTAAATGGAGATCTTATGTTATATAATCATTAAACTACTTTGAATAATATGGCTGAAACAGTAATAAGATGCCTTAATTTATTCTACTGACAGAATACTATGTTTAATAAGTAAACTTATTCTATAAGTTTCCATTAAAAACTTCACTGTTACCTTGAAAAACACAAATATTTATCTGATAAAATGATATTTTCATTTCTAAAACAATGCAGTTTAAATACTCTCATATTCACTTAATTCTAGAAACTGATATACTGTCAATAGTTGTCATTATTATCACTCATTACGATCAGAGTTAAACACTGCATCTAACATCTACTTTTTCTTTGTATATAGTAAGAATGTGTTAACCTTCTCCATAATTTCATAAAATATTTCTATTTATAGTTGTTTTTATTTGTAAAAATATAATTAGCTGTAATTCTATTAACAGTGAATTTGAAATTCAATGTTTTCTTTTCAGTTTTATTCTAAGATAAACAATTCACCAAGAGATCAGCAGGACATGCACACATTCATTCACTCAATCAATACTAATTGCATACAAGTTGTGTACTTGGCGGTCAATTATATCAGTCAGTTTAAGCAGTCCCTGTCTTCAAGAAGCTTATCATTTAGCTAGGGCAAAAAGACTGTATAATAATATAGGTACAGACAGAAGTTTTCATTACAGTGGCCATTTATAGTAGATAAATAATTTTCTTACCTTTATCCAATTTATTATATATGTGCTTTGGCAGTTCTGGTGAAGATTCCACATTTGGAGGATAAACATACATTGCTCTACTATGAGGTGAATTGAGATCCCTAAGATCCACAGCTTCTTTACAAACATTGAGAATATTTCTTCGGAAGTCCTGTACTTCTGGATCTTTAACCATATCAAATTCACACACTGGCATGCCAATAGCAAAACCTTAAAGGATATAACATTCTGTTAAACACACAGTAAGACCATGCTTGTTATAAACAAGGAGTTTGGTAGCTATAGATGATCACAATAAAGAATTTTCTGTGTTAATAAAATTTTTGATGAATACATATAGTAAGAATTGACAAAATCTCAAATATGTTTAATATATAAAATATGATATGCTCAGTAATTTGGAGCAAAAGTAGCAAAAATTATTTATTATCAATTATTTTTTAGAAAACAAAACAAAACTGGGATATAACAAATATAAATCATCCCTCATTCCTTCATATGACACTTCTTAAAGAAAATTTTACAGAATAATACCAAGGTGTTAAAAATAGTCCCTTAGCCTAACAATCAAAAAATACTTTCAAATTATAATGATTTTTATTTTGAAATCTATTTAACCAGTTCAGACAAAATATTGTATTAATGAGAAAACAGTTAAGCTTCATAGTTATTTGCATTTAGAATGGGATGACAATGCCATTTCAAAACTTTATCATACCAATTTCTCGATTGAGGATCTTTTCTTCACGGTTGCCTACTGGTTCAATTACTTTTAAAAAGGGTTGAAAAAGCCGAAGGTCACAAAGTCGTCTTGTTTCATCAAAAAATTCTTCCCTTTCTGCTTCTTGGGTAACACTTACGAAAATGTAAGAAGATTCATCTTGAAGAAGTTGATGGAGAGGGTATTTTCTTGCTTCTTTAAATAGTTCATGCTTTATAGTTATTAATGTAGCCTCACGGAGGCATTCTAAAGTCACTATCATCCCATTTGGTAATAAACATTCTACTAGGATTCTTGGGGGCATCAAGTGGATGCCCCACAGTTCACCTGATGATGGTCTTGGAGGCATTGTTCTGATCCTTTACAAGTTTTACATATAAAAGTACTTTAAGGAATTAGATGTGTGGCTGTCCCAAAGCAGAAATCTAAATCAAAGAAAGAAAAAGTATGTTAAAGGAGGAACCATCAAAGAATACACTTATGGCATTACTAAATGTACAATTCCATTTTCTGTAGTTTGAAATGATTAGAGTAAGTAATTATAGTTCATCTTAGATTATTGTTCCTAATTAAGCTAAAAGATGGCTTCCCTGGTAGCCCAGACAGTAAAGAATCTGCCTGCAATGCAGGAGAGACCTGGGTTTGATCCCTGGTTTGGTAAGATGCCCTGGAGGAGGACATGGAAACCCACTCCAGTGTTCTTGCCTGGAGAATCCCCACAGACAGAAGAGCCTGGTGGGCTACAGTCAATGGGGTCGCAAAGAGTCAGACACAACTGAGTGACTAAGCACAGGCTAAAAGAATTGATTCCAAACCAGAAATTAGAAAAAACAATTACTTGCATTTAATCACATTTAATAAATTCATTCAATAAAAAATTCTTATTTGAATGGATTTTTAAGGTCAGATCTTAAGACAGAACTGGAGCTATGGAGAGAATAAATAGTAAGCTGCAACTGAAATAAAAATTCCCATTATATACCATTCTTTTCTATTTTACACAACAACAGAATTTGGTTTGGAAAGGACCTTTTAGACCATGGTTCCACTGTTCTTAAAGATGAGTAAAGCAAAGGATTTTAGGTAAGAATAATGAAATGGCAACTCACTCCAGCATTCTTGCCTGGAAAATCCCACGGACAGAGGAGCCGGGCAGACTACAGTCCAAGGGGTTGCAAGAGTCGGACATGACTTAGCAACTAAACCAGCACCGGTGGTTTTATTTTAAAGATGAGTAAAGTAAAGGTTAGAGAAGTCAAATCCTTTTCCTTTTACACTACTACCTCTACTCTGTGGTAACTAGAATTTACAGTTTAGTCTTTTTTTCTTTCTTAAGAAAGAAAAATCTTTGTAATTTCCTTTTTTTTTTTTTGTATTTGTTATTGTCTAAGTGATACCTTGATGATTCTCTTTAAGTATAATCTAGTTATATATTAAGTATAATAAAAAGTGTCATCAATGCATTTTCCTTGAGATAGGATGATTAATTTGCAAGGATCCATCCCTTTTACCAAAAAGTAGGAGTGTTAGTTGATCAGTCATGTCCAACTCTTTGTGATCCCATGAACAGGAGCCTGGAAGGGTCCATGGGATTCTCCAGGCAAGAATACTGGAGTGGGCTGCCATTCCCTTCTCCAGAGCATCTTTCCAACCCAGGGATCAAACCTGAGTCTCCTGCATTGCAGGCATATTCTTTACTGTATGAACTACAGGAAGTCCCACATAGCACAAGTTTATTTCTTGTGGGTTATAGTTTGTTGTTCAGTAAGCTTTACTCTATCAGGCACTATAGACAATAGCTATAAATGACACTATTCACCAACAATGTATTGGTGCTGTCCCCAGGACCATATTAGGTAGTGGGAATATGATGGTAAGACAGGCATGGCCTCTGCCCTCACAAGACAACATCAAGAGTGTGAAGGTTATGTGTATGCTGGTGTGGGGTAAAAAATTCACACGTATAAAACAGGGGAAAAAAAAAGCTCCCATGAAGAAGTACCAGGTACTTATAAAAGCACATACAGTGGTCACCTAACTTGATGGAAGTTGGAATGAGACAGTTTTCCATAGAAGGTAACATATAAACTAAATTCTTTAAGGATAAGCAGGAGCAGAACGAACACAGTGAGAAAGAGGTGAAGAGCAGGATATACTTAATCCAGAAACTGTCTCTGACTCCTTTATTTCGTACAAGCCAGTATCTAATTCATCAACAAATTGCGTTAATTCTATATCTTGAATTTCTTAATGTCTTGGGTCAGTCCACTACTATTTCTTGTCTGGACCACTGCAAAGGCCTAAATTGTCTTCCTACATCTACATTTGTCCCCTACAATTCCTCTTTCTCCACACAGCCTATGAAACCTAGAGAGAGCAAAAGGATCTATTTTGATTAGATGTTTTTGCAGTATCCATTCTCAGTTGTAAACAAGTGTTTATGGTATGCTTCAGAGTTTTAACACATGAAGAAGGAGATGAGGAGTAAAAGAGCAGGAATTTCAAGCCCTCTCCCTACCTCTGGAAATACAGAGATCAGTTGAAAGACAATAAGGAATGTACAATTTTTTTTAATACTTGAAAATATCTTCTTCAAATTTATAAGAGACTCACTGAGGTTATAGGATTTAAAATATAATTATACTATTCTCTATACGTTTAAAAGAAAATTCACTGGCTAGTAAAAACAACCAGATGGATCAATCTGAGAGCATAATTATAGAAATGAGTTAGGCTACACTTTTAAAAAACATACAAAAAAATTTGAAGAATGCAAGGGGAAATGCCAAATGATTACTTTTAAGTGATGATCTGCCTGCAGAAAAAAGTTCAAATAAAAACAAAACCAAACCACAAACCATACCAAAACAGCAGCTGTGTTTACAGTTTTCTTTGTTGAATGGCACTAACAGGTCTATGTTATGGAATCATGAGGGCAACTATTTTATATAATAAATAACAACTCCCAAAGTCTCATATGTTTCCTAAGAATTAGCAAAAGAGAAGTCTAGTACCCAAGAGATCAGTGATTTTAATCCTTATTCTACTTTGGTATATTTATGGGCAATTAACAACTATGAAATACTTAAGACACACCCTTTTCATTAAGAGAATAAATGTGATCATAGCCATAAAATACTGGGAGATCCTGGAAAGCAGGCACTGGTTCACACTGGTAGTACTCTACATGTGGGAGAGGAAGCTAACTTTCTTATTTGTCCTCTTACCCCAGGCTTTATTGTGTTCAAACCATCACCTCAGAGCTCACAAGAACAGAAGTGCAAAAGAGACAAATGGTGCTAACACTTACTCTTTAGTATATATCTTGCACTTAGGCATGCAATAAGTAATAAACATTTTACATATGAGAAAACTGAAGGTCAGAGAAGTAAAGTTATTTGCCACCAGTAAATATTAAATATTTTGAATCCAGGTTTACATGATTTCAAAGTGTACACTGTAACCATACTGTTATTTGGACTTCAGTTATGGCAGGAATATTCACTGGTGGTGAATAATGGTGAATAAAACAATGGGCTCTGAAGTTACACTGGATTCAGATTCTGTCTGCCTTAGTTAATAGTTGTATGGCCTTAAGCAGTTCAATTCATCTCACCAAACCTTATATCACCACCACCACCACCACCCTGGCCCCCTGCCCCAATTTGTTAAGTTGGGATAATAGCATATACTTCATCAGACCATGGTATTGATGAGGTAATATACGAAAAACATGGAAGCAAAGAGACTGGCATACTGTAAGCACTCAAAAAATATTACATATAATTAACAAACCTGTCAAGTATACCCACAGTATCTTTTCAGGTTTTTATGAATTATTCAGGACTGGCATCAGTTAGTGATAGGAAAAAGAGGACTGGGTTCTTTTACAGAGTGGGGCAAGTAAACAAGGAGTTTCAGCTTCACAAAGCAGTACGAGTCAGGTGCTGAAGCCTGAAGGCAGAGCCGGAACTGCAAGATTCAAAGACAAATTTGGAACAGTACTGAGTGGCTTAGATGCTGGGATTTTTGCAACTGTGGCTTGTTCCCCAGACCCCGTGTGTCCCTATTTAATTGGTACAGCTATTTACGGCTTAGGTGTGAGGAATCCCTGGCTTAATTGCCCTTTTTGGAGAAATACTTGTTTATGCCAGGTTCTAGGTTAAACAGTATGAAAACAATGGTAAATAGATGCTTTCTCTTTGGTTGTTGAGTTTGTTGGGGAAAGACAAGACCCAGGAACAACTTTAACAATGGAAAATTGTTATAAGGCAGAATAGGAACTTTGGAAAAGTCACAAGAAATCTCCAACTGCCTGAGGAGGCTAGGGAAGGCATCAGGGAAGTTTATGTACAGCATTACAGATTAATAGGGATTTTGCAGAGAAGTGGCTTGGACATGGGACAGCTAGGTGAAGAGGGAGCTATAAAAGTGTGTGTACAAAGACCATGAAAAAAATACAGCCTTTACCAGCAATATAAGTTTGATTTTTTTTACTACTTGAGTATGAAATGCATGGGAATAGGTAGGATATGTGATAATGAGGGAGGATTGAGAAATACACAGGGGCAAGAAAAGTGGACAGACTCCATGTTAAGGAGTTTGAATTCTACGTAGTATATACTCTAAGTAAAAGGGAGTCTCTAAGTATTTTGAACAAAAGAGTAACATGACATTTTTTCATGATTTTTAAATTCAGATTTCTTAAAAGTTTTGTTTTCAAATAAATGATATAATCAAATAAACCAAGGTGTAAAAACACACCTTTAAGGACAAAATATACAGCAGAAATGAACAGCAGAAAATAGTCTCAGACTCTCCATTGTCACTTGACTTTTATAGCAAAAGGTTTCTTAATTCAATGGGCAAGTCAGTATTTGGAACACCAGACGTGCACTCTTCCAGCCAAAAAGACAATGACATTTTGACAATTTGGTTTTTAACTCCTTAACTGAAAGCCTTTCTCCACTTATATTAGAATGGTATTTCCAGATTTTATCATTTAAGGCAAGAGTTGTCCAACTATGGCTCACAAGCTAAACCCAGCTAACCACCTGCTTTTGCAAATAAAGTTCAACTGAAACACAGCCAAGAGACCATGTTTACGTACCATCAACAATTCTTTCGCACATAAACAGTAAAGTTGAGCAGGTGCTACAGAGCCCATGTGGCCTGCAAAATCTAAAATATTTACTATCTGGCCTTTTACAGAAAAAGTCTGCTACCTCTGAAAACATGTCAGAATTACTTGATATCAACTAGAGAATTTTCTAAATATACACTGGCTAATAAGTCATGCGAACCCTGCCTTTGCAACCTCAATCCCACACTTTCAAGTTAAGTATTTTG